GATTTCCTGCATGCAGCATTTGAATGCCATATACCATGGGTCATCACTTTTCATGTACATCAACATGAAGAGTAATTTGATGAAAGGGTTACTCCAAGCATCAGGACCACTTCAGTGATTTTTACTTTTCGCTATGAGAGTGGATAATATGTGGATAATGTGAATTCTGTGCAAATTTGACAGCATGCTGGAGCCAGACCTCCTCTGTGCTACCCATGTCCTATCCTCAGCCCGCCATTGGAGCAGCGTACCCTGTTGGGGTAGGAAGGAGACAGTACCCTGTGGAGAGCTTCCCGGTAGCCAGATTCCCAGCCAGAGAGCAGCTACCTCCATTCCCACTACCATTTCCCAATTATAACCTTGGATGTCTATTTTAGCACGTTGAGTCCCCACTCTGTAAAACCCCTCTGAGTAACTCGCTCTACATTGTATTTTAACCAACTCAAACAAATGCTGTAAATAAATATTGATTTACTTGTGAGCCAGTAAGGGTTTTAGCTGTGACCTTGGGTGTGGTACAAATGCTTTTACAAACAGCTACTCTCCCATGGCATTATCAGGATAAAGTATTGGAAGCAAATCCACATTCACCATAACGTACCTAAATGGATTTCATTAAAACTGAATGTGTAGCATAGCTCAGTGGCAGCAGGAACAAGCTTAAAATATTGCCCATCTATAAGATTGTGAGTCCCCGAGTCACGTTAATCTTTAGATTATCCTGGTCCGGGGTGCTATACATCTCCAATCTCTTATAAAACCCCCATTAATATCTAATGACAAAGCTCTGTCCCATTAGGGCAATAGTAAGAGTGTGACAAGCAGAATGTCTGTATACGTCCTGATCGGTTTCTTGCTATGCTGACTAGCTGTGAGAGATGTACCCAGGGCCAGATTAAGAGACCAGTGGGCCTGGCGCTGACAATTATGATGGGCCTAATTACAGAATCTTATCAACCAAAAACACTAAAACAGTCTTACCTCCCAAGTGTCATGTATCTGATGGTGTTGGAGGGAAACTCAAAGGATGCAGCTATAAGAAACACATACTCTATGCTAATCTCTCTCTAATTTATGTTTTCATCTTTCAAGTAAATCCATACCCCCTAACAACAGTGTCCAGTGAAGCAGGAAGTCAATGGGCGGGGTAAAAGGGTGGGCCACTGATGTGAATCATGTGACCAGAGCTGCCAAAAGGGCGAACATGCCCAAAAAAGGGGCATGTCTGTTCAAAGAATTGTAGGGCCAGCCTGGCATCAGTGTCCCCATGTTGCTCAGTCCCCTAGTCTCCCAGTGTCTCAGTGTCCTCGTTTCTCCCCGTGTCCCCATGTCACTAGGATACTAGGGGACACAGTGAGACATGTGGACACTGAGACACTTGGGGACACTGGGAGACATGGGGGCACTTGTAAATACAGACATGGGGACACAGACACTAGGGACACAGAGACATTGGGACACTAGGGACACTGGCTGGGAGGCATGGGGACACTGGGAGACACGGGGGCATTTGTGGACATAGGCATAGGGACACTGGGAGACATGGAGACACTGAAACATTTGGGGACACTGGGAGACATGGGGACACTGAGACACTATGGACACTGGCTGGGAGACACGTGGACACTGGGAGACAGATATTTGGGGACACTGGGAAACATGGCGACACTGAAACACTAGGGACACTGGGAGCCGTGGGGACACTGAGACACTAGGGACATTGGCTGGGAGACATTAGGACACTGAAAAATTTGGGGACTCTAGGGACACTGGCTGGGAGACATAGGGACACATGGGAACACTGAGACACTAGGGACACTGTCTGGGAGATGTGGACACTGAGAGACATGGGGACACAGACACTGGGAAAGTAGGGGACACTGAGACACTAGGGACACTGGCTGTGAAACATGGGTACACTGGGAGACATGGAGACACTATGTCCATAGTGTCTCTATGTCCCAATGTGTCTCAGCATCCCTATGTCTCACAGTGTCCCCAAGTGTCTCAGTGTCCCCATGTTTCCCTGCTGCCTTTCCCCCTATTCCCCTATCCTTCACTTCCCTGAGCTGTAATCTGTCTCTGCAGACTGGGAGCTGCTGTCTGAACTCTCTGTGCTGTGTAGCTGCTCCCCCACGGATCAGTGAGTAGAGAGAGAGAGGCAGGGAGGGATATGCTGCAACGTCCTATCCCTGTCTCTCTCCACACACAGTGACCCCTACTGGCTGGTGCTGGTATTGCATAGTAATCTCCATTTATACTGAGAAAAATAAACCAATTAAAAAAATAAATAAATAACTCTTTGAAGATTACTCATTGAAGTAATACCGGCACGGCCAGGCAGCCTCAAATACCGGCTGTGCTGGTAAACTACCAGTCAGGTGGCAAACCCAAGAGTAGTGTGTTAAAAAAAATAATCTAGGACTCTCGGTAGACACTTCTCTCAGTCAGTCAGTCTGTTCTACAAACTGGAAGGAACAGGGCCCTTGACCACAATATTTTTGGTATATGTAACAACATGTTAAAGGGACATACATCACTTTGAGATAACAGACTCATTCAAAAGCTTGGCTCACTCAGTTGGCTCACTCTGCAGGTTGAAAAGAAGATAAATGTTTTGGGGGTTTTTCTCATTGTTTAGCTACTTTGTTTTTCTTATACATTCCACACTCAGGGCACTGATCTAACCAATAAGTGTCCTATCCCTAGGAATGCTGGAAAGGTGCATGGGGCATGTCTGACAGATTGTCACATGTGTAGTTAGAGCATCTCTTTACCTTGCAATATTTTGACAGGGGGAGAAGAGAGGGAGGGAGACTGATCACTATGATTCATGCAGAGCAGGCTTCAGTGTTGGGTTTCTATCTCCTGCTGCTGCCCAATGATGCCGTATTTCGTCATTAGTAAACTGGTCTGAAACTGAGCTGGGAGGGGACCGAATAAACATGTAACTGAGAGGTGTGTCGAACAATGCAATCTGACCAAGTTTTTGGTGAGTTTATAAATGTTTATTACATGCTTCTCAGTTTGTCTTTCTTTATTTTAGTCTGAATATTTGTTAAAGGCGTTTACTTGCTGGTTTCAAATATAATGTCAAGTGATGCGTGTCTCTTTAAGGACTAATGATAAACAAATGCTAACACACTATTTCAATGTTTTTCAACATCACTTTTGGCAAAAAATAAAAATAAAAAAGAGACCTTATGTTAGCAGTTACGTTTAAGCAACCATAGTCATTCTTGATACAATTTATCTACATGTTAACAGAGTAATTTTTTTCTTTATCAAATTCAACAACAATATGACTTCATAAAGCCCTGGCAAAACTTCTCAACAAACACCTGATAAGTTATCAAACTTGAAAGATTCTGTGCAAACACTATACGCAGCTGTGAAGGAAAGTACCCAGCACATATCTCTGGGTAACTTTTTATCCATAACACAGCAATAGGAGGGGGATTCCATTATCATCTTTCACTCCCACCATGCACATGATGCTGGGCAATAAATAAAGAAGGAATCTCAAAGGAACCGTTTCGATTTCCCTTGCGAGGTATGTGATTTCTACATACTACAGGGAAGCACTTTTCATGGAATAATATAGGCTACAGTACCCGCACTGCCTTTTCTGCCTCTTCCACGCTCTGTTTATGTAACCTGTTATGTTGGTAACATTTTACAGCAGTGAATAGCTGAACATGATACATTATTAGGAGGGAAGGGAACATTCCAAAACTCACAAACCATTAAAAAAACAATTAAACTATTTCAGAAATACCTGTTATGGAAGTGATTCATTTTGTGATGTCTACAACGTATGTAATATTCAATACCAACAGTTTTATAATTGCAGTTCATATAGCTCCAACATATCTTGCAGAGCTTTACAATTTTAAAGAAAAACCATAATGTCATGAATAAAAACATGTATTCCTGACACTATAGTCCTGAAGTAGCTGTTTAGGTTTAGTACCCGCACCCCTACGATCTCCGTAAAAAGGTGATTAAACTTTTCTCGCACGCTGTGTAAGTCTTGCCGTAGCAATGTGCAGAACTGATGTAGGAATCACCTCTAGGGACTTGACTGCTGCTAGAGGTATTACTAGGCACATATACAGTTAGGGGGGAAAGTTTTGATCCCCTGCTGATTTTGAACGTTTGCCCACTGACAAAGAAATGATCAGTCTATAATTTTAATGGTAGGTGTATTTTAACAGTGAGAAACAGAATGACCAAAAAAGTTAGAAATTGATTTGCATGTCAATAAATGAAATAAGTATTTGATCCCCTATCAATCAGCAAGATTTCCCAGGTGTCTTTTATACAGGTAATGAGTGGAGATTAGGAGCACTCTCTTAAAGGGAGTGCTCCTAATCTCAGCTTGTTACCTGTATAAAAGACACCTGTCGGGGGGGGGGCGGAGCCTGACCTCGGAGCTGCACGGACGCGACTACCGCAAGCTCCTGCTGAACGGGCAAACTTTACGGCAAAATCGGCGGCTATGGAGCCCACAGACTCACTGGAGTGCACTTCCCACACTAGGAATGCACCACTGACCAGAATGATGCCTAATAGACGCCAATCGGAACCGAGCAACCGGAACGCCAAGTGCGGCCTACTGGAGAAGGATCTGGGGGGAGGCGGCCGTTCTCCTCGGATCCGAACCCAACAAGCGACACTGAGGGTCTCCTACCCCCCCTCTAGACCGGCAGGGGTTATCCCAGTCCCCAATGGAGCACAGCAGCAACGAAGTGGAGCCCAGACCACACAAGATGGTGGAGGCCCCTCCACAGACCTCGCTGGCCCCCAGCCAAACATATGAGACACACCTCGACTCATTTGACCTCAGGCTGGAGGTAATATTTCAAGCCTTTTGGAACAAGCTGCAGGCACGCCTTATCATTAAACAGCCTACACAGGGGTCGAGGAGAGGCCCAAAGGACTTGGCGGGAAAGCTCCCCGCGGGCAAAACGCCTACCCTAGCAGCTCAAAAAGTAAAGATGGCGCCACTACAGAGGCCTGCATGGCAACCTGCACTCAAGACCGCCCAGAAGCGCAATTCTGGAAAGCAGCTTAAGAGAGAATGGAGAGGGGCACCACAGAGCACACCCCGCCACAGGAGACACCACCATGTATCACGCAGCTGCCTACTTGAACCCCGATCCGGCTGTCACCCTCGGGCAGTGGGTAAAGAGCAATCTGCGAGCAGATCCCGAGCTATTATCTGGAACATCAACGACCCGCGGCTGCGGGAGAGCCCAGAACTGGACTGGGCCAGACATTCCCACCTCGGTACCGATCGATGTCAGCAGCGATGCCGTTCCAGGCTGAGCGCCAGGATGGCAAAGGATTTGGACTTGCCTAAACAGGTACCATCGCTATCACTGAAGGGGATTGGCTGATCCTACTGCCGGACTATAAGTCAGACCTCCGGGTTACCTGCCATGGACACTAAGAGCTTTATTTACTTTATTTACACTAACTCATGATTTTACCACCTATCTTGCCTCAGCCTTATTGTTTATGTCATGGCGGCACTACTGTCATCGCCACCTACCCCGCCATTTCCAGTTTCCTAAATGCTTATATGCCAGTCAAGTAATACTAGCATGCCAGTTGAAGCTCTTGCCTATTTATAACATAATGATACGTGTAGCCTCCTGAGTATTACCAATAATTTTCTAACTGAATGCTCTGCTTTTGTTTTTCTAGCCAAGTATACCTCTTTAGCCTAATGGTCTAGTTCCATAGCTGGATGCAGACGCACCCCAAAAACCTAGTGACTTATAAAGGTTAAGCTTGTTCTATGTGTGTTTTACTGACTCCCACAGAATTTGCAGCTAATAGTCTAGAAATGCTCTATATGTCGAGTTCCCTAAATGCATATGTGGTACTTACAGTAAATCGTAGACTACTCAGCATGGCGAGCCTACTAAGTTGTATAACCCACAGGTATCCGCTAACTGCTGCAAAGATGTTCGTGCATGTCATGTGCTCCATGTATATGTCACTCCTCTGAGAACACTTCCATGTTATATTTACCTTGACAACTTATTTACCTAGCGAGATTCAATTAGTCAGACGCAGCGACATCTATTAATGCACAGAATTAAGCAACCACTAATGAGAATATATATGAATGCCAGCCTCCATGTTATGATAGAACGTTTAACGGCAAGGCTTACACTCTGTGTTCTAGTCACTCTTTACTAAGATAACTCTTCATTACCAACACAATTAAATTATTCGCAACGAATTTACTTACGAATGCAACATGTCTTATAACAAAAATGTGCAACTGTATATCGTCATGACTTTGTCTACATTATCCCGCCTGTGCCTGCTGTCACGGCATCACAGGCCTGTTTGTAAACTTTATTGCACCAAAAATAAAGAATTTAAAAAAAATAAAAGACACCTGTCCACAGAAGCAATCAATCAATCAGATTCCAAACTCTCCACCATGGCCAAGACCAAAAAGCTGTCCAAGGATGTCAGGGACAAGATTGTAGACCTACACAAGGCTGGAATTGGCTACAAACCATCACCAAGCAGCTTGGTGAGAAGGTGACAACAGTTTGTGCGATTATTCGCAAATGAAAGAAACACAAAATAACTGTCAGTCTTCTTCAGTTTAGTGCTCCATGCACTCCTTGTGGAGTTTCAATGATCATGAGAACGGTGAGGAATCAGCCCAGATCTACACGGAAGGATCTTGTTAATGATTTCAAGGCAGCTGGGACCATAGTCACCAAGAAAACAGTTGATAACACACTACACTGTAAAGGACTGAAATCCTGCAGTGCCTGCAAGGTCCCCCTGCTCAAGAAAGCACATTTACAGGTCCGTCTGAAGTTTGCCAATGAACATCTGAATGATTCAGAGAAATGGGTAAAAGTGTTGGGGTCAGATGAGACCAAAATCAAGCTCTTTTGTATCAACTCAACTCGACGTGTTTGGAGGAGGAGGAATGCTGCCTATGACCCCAAAAAACATCATCCCCATCATCAAACATGGAGGTGAAAACATTATGCTTTGGGGGTGTTTTTCTGCTAAGGGGACAGGACAACTGCACTGCTTCAAAGGGATGATGGACGGGGCCATGTACCATCAAATCTTGGAAGAGAACCCTACTTCCCTCAGCCAGGGCATTGAAAATGGGTCGTGGATAGTTATTCCAGCATGACAATGATCCAAAACACACAGCCAAATGAGTGGCTCAAGAAGAAGCACATTAAGATCCTGAAGTGGCCTAGCCAGTCTCCAAACCTCAATCCCATAGAAAATCTGTGGAGGGAGCTGAAGGTTCGAGTTGCCAAACGTCAGCCTCGAAACCTTAATGACTTGGAGAAGATCTGTAAAGAGGAGGGACAAGATCCATCCTATGCAAAACTGGTGGCCAACTGCAAGAAACGTCTGACCTCTGTGATTGCCAACAAGGGTTTTGCCACCAAGTACTAAGTTAAAGCGGTCAAATACATATTTCACTCACTGACATGCAAATCAATTTATAGCTTTTTTGACATGTGTTTTTCTGGAAAAAATGTTTGGTTATTCTTGTCAGTGGTAAATGTTCAAAATCAGCAGGGGATCAAATACTTTTTTTTTCATTTGGTGAAAACAAACAATTAACTAGACTGTAGGCATAAGAGGTTCCTCCTCCCTTCATGCCTCAGTCCAATTGGATAGCTCAGATAAAACCTTGGGCAGGTACCTGATGCTGCCATGATAAATAGCCAGGAAAAGAAATGTACCGGTAAGTATGAATTAAAATTTTGATATTCCTGGCTAATCATGGCAGCATCACTTATGGGTAATACCTAAGCTTACTATAAAAACTGGGGGGACCGCACTAAATCACTGCAAAAACACTCAAATTTATTATGTGGAATTCACAGAGGCCAAAACACTTCTGCCAAACTTTGTGTAAGAAGAGGCTACATCCAGCTTGTAATGTTTAATGAAGGTCAAAGCAGAAGACCACGACGCTGCCTTGCAGATGTCATCAGGAGCAACCTCTGCCCAATTAGCCCATGAAGTAGCCAACGACCTCATAGAATGAGACAAACTTGTTAGGAGGAGAAAAACCTCTTAAAGTGTAAGCCTTCGTGATGATATTGGAAATCCATCTATATAAAGTAGAAGTAGAGGCAGCTTCCCCTTTTCTGGAGCCCTCTGGGATAATGAACAAATTATCTGTTTTACGGAAAGCTCCTGTGACAGATATGTATCTGATCAAATATTCCCTAACATCCAGATGATGAAGTTTGACCTCCAATTCTGAGGACGGACTTGGAAAAAAGGAAGGTAGAACAGTATCCTGATTCAAATGAAAATTAGAAACTACTTTAGTAAGCAATTATAGCTTAGGATGCAAAACCACTCTGTCATGGTACACCTGAGTATACATTTCTACACAGGAGAGAGCTCTCACCTCTGAGATTATCCTAGCCAATGTAATTGCCAGCAAAAACAGAGTCTTATATGTAAGAGAAGTGAAATCCAACTCTTCCTGAGGAGAAAATGGTGCTTCAGATAAGGCACCTAGGACTAGAGGAAGGTCTCATGGAGGTGTATAATTGCATTGAGGAGGTCTAATATGAAGAATAACCTTAAAGAACCTAGTAATCAAGGGATTTGAAGCCCAAGAATAGTTATATAGGGGCGATATAGCAGAACGCTTTAGGGTACTCAGACTTAAACCTTTTTCTACGACAACTTGTAGAAATTCCAATATATGGTTTGGATCAGGGTGCAAGAAATACATTCCCTTGTTAAGTTTCCAAGATTTAAACATCTCCCATGTACAGTTATAGCACTTAAATGTAGAAAGCTTTTTGGACTGCAGAAGAGTATCAGTTACTTCCTCAGACAATCCTGATTGCATGAGCCTCTCCCTTTCAAAAGCCAGACCCCGAATCTCAGCTGTTCGGAGTTGGGATGGAGGACAGGACCCTAACTCAATAGATCTGTCCTGTTTGGAAGCAGCCAGTGTTTCTCCAAAGACATCCTGCAAAGGAGAGGAAACCAGAGTCTCCTTGGCCAAACTGGAATGATGGCTATTATAACTCATTCTTCCTTCCAGATTTTCTTCAGCAGGCGGTGAATGATAGGTAGGGGAGGCAACACATACCCCAGATCGAATTCCCAAACTTGTGATAGAGCGTCCTGTCCCACAGACTGATGGTCTGGGTGAAGAGAGAAGAACCTTGTTACTTGCGTGTTCCATGCAGTTGCCATCAAGTCGATCTGGGGTATGCCCAACGGAAGAGTTATTGCCTTGAGTACTTCTGAATGGAGTCTCCATTCTCCTGGCATTATTCTCAATCTGTTTAGGTAATCCGCCAAAATATTCGGAGTCCCTGGTAGATACACTGCCTTTAGACCCTGAAGATAAGTCTAAGCCAAAAATATAAGAGGTGTCAGCTCCTTTAACAGAAGTTTGCTTCGGGTTCCATCTTGGTGGTTTACATAAAAAGGCACTGCCCTGTTGTCTATCTGAATCATAATCCAACCATTCTTCACATAAGGGAGAAAACCTTGAAGGGCCTTGAGAATAGCTCTTAATTCTTTTAGATTGGAGTGCATTTTTCTCTCTCTGTTGGACCACTGTCTTTGCATCTGTCATGACTACTAGCCAGTTTGGTTCTTCCAAAGGGTAATCCCGACCAAGATTCTTCCTGTTTGTCCACCAGTTCATCTGATCTATTGTATTCTTGAGAAGAACTATCTTTTGATCCCACTCGGGTCTGTCCCTGTTGAATTGCCTCAGAAATTCCATCTGAATAGGTCAAATTTCCCAATGGGCCCATATTACCAGAACTATTGTAGTTATCAGGGATCTCAAGAGGCTCATATAAAGAAAGGAACGGATGAGCTTGTATTTTCACAATCTTCTCGTGAATCTTCACTATTCTGTCTGGAGATAGAGATACTGTTGCTAAAGATATATTTATCACAGCACCCAGAAAAATGATCTGTTGAGAAGGTATCAGAGAACTTTTTTCTATGTTCAGTATCCACCCGTGTTCTTGAAGACAGAGTATAAATGCTTGTGAAACTTTACGTGAGACTGGTGAATGGAGATCTGATAATATGCGTCATTGAGTTCTATAGACGTCATCCAATCTCTCTTCTTTATATTTGATACTATATTGGCAATGGATTCCATCTTGAATGACTTTATCGTTAAATTGGTGGTCCAAAATCAGTCTCCACCTTCCTAGAGGCTTTGGAGCCAGAAAGATTGTAGAATAATGGTCTTTGTACCTTTGTGCCTTTAGAACTTCTTTTTTTTATCATATATAGATTTTTATTAAGTTTGAACAGAGTAGGTACATACATTCCATCCAGTTGACAGTGTTAGATACATAAATCATTACATTGAAGTATTGCGCTACAT